GGGGGGGGGGGGGGGGGGGGGGGGGGGGGATCTTCCAGCCGTCAGAAGAAAGCATGCATGCGTGTCCACCGACAAACACTAAACCCGAATAAGTCTCTCAACCCGAGCGGATCCACCAGATGTGCTCGCTGTCCTGTCGTTTCCATGGCGAAACGGGCTCACAGAGAACAGTGGAACTCAGAATAACGCACCTTTCTGTGCGGGAGCTGGAAACGAACCACGTGTTGTTGTTGTTGTTTTTTTTTTGCTGTTTTTTTTTTTTTTTTAAAGCTACAGGGGAACAACATTGGGTTTTTCGTCTGTTCTGCTTGTTTTCTACCGGCCTGCTTTCGTTGCAGCCTGAGTCTGAGCGTTTTGGGGCCTCGTCGGGGCCGTGGCGTCCATGGAAACGCACAAACTGGTGGGAGAGCCATCCGCATGCGTTTGTGTGGGCGGGATACATGACGAACTTCAACTAGAGGAAAGTGTCTGTAAAAGCCCACAAGGCTGATGGATGTTATTTTGTTTTTTTGTTTTTTTTCTGACTTGTCATGAGTTCACGGTTTGACGCCACTCGCCAGGCGGCCAAGCAGTATTTTTATTCAGCTTGAATCTGGTCGTTTTGAAAGTGGCGATACGAGATGTGTGACCTGATTTTTGTCCAGTGTTTTGTAAAGGGGCCGGGGACTCGGAGCTGCTCAGCTCCATTCAGAGGGTTTAAGCGCTTTGCTTCCTTTTGGTGTTTAGATGCTTTCTCTCTGGGAGCATCCTCCCCGAGAGGAAACCTGTCTAGCTCCTGTTTGCCTCCTAACACTGTGAAGCAGTCCTTTCTTTGGAGTCTAAGCTAAGGCTGTGCCACTCCGAGTTCAAAACCCCCTAAATCATCGTCTGATTCCTTTATAGCTTGTAGAATCAAATCAGAGTTCCAGTGTGTAACATTTAGGCTCATGAGCTGGCATTATCTTTCAAAAGCTCACAGATGTTTGTAAAAGCGACTGTTCCCTTAAACAGTGACGCTTTCAGCTGCTCGCAGTCTGCAGTTGAGCCACTAGATGTCGCCAGAGCCTACACACTGAAGCTTTGATATTTAAAAGCATCATAGTGATTACTAACGGTAATTCATAGAAACTTAGATTTTAAATCCTTGATTTTTTTATTTTTATTCTGCATTTATAGCTTCTAGATAAATGTGTATTTTAGATATCTACAGGGGCTAAAAAAGTAGTGTAAGTGGCATGGATACTTGTGCCAAAGTTCAGGCCGCAAAGGGAGCGGCCTGAACTTTGAGAAGTGTTTCCCTCCCTAACGTCCGCCGCCTCCTCACCTTCGTGTTGACGTTTTGTGTCGGTACCAGTAAATGTGGGATCGGCCTGACGGTTTGGGCCACAAAAGGGAAGAAAGGTGCCGTTTGCCTGTCATAGCTTGTAGTTTGGCTTGATGTGGAGTGGAGAGAAGTGGATGGAGAATATTGGAAAGTATATTACCAATCTTGTTTGTTTTGTTTTTGTTGTTTTTTTTTACATTTGTTTTATCCTCTGATTTTAGTTTCTTCACATGGATGTTTGACAGCTGCCTTGCTCGTGGGTTGTGGTGGACTGCATCATTCGCATGCACAAATTATGAAATCCATTCAGCCACAACGGTTATGCTGGCGTCAGTTTCACTTCTATGTGGTTTCCAACATTTTAAAAAGGCTGTTTTTTTTTCCTAACATTTGTCGGTGTAGTTTACAGATAAAAAAAAACCTGTAAAAAAAAAAAACAATCTTAAAGTGAAGGGAAATGTGAATAGCATGTTAAGTACCACAGCTCATAATGTGATCAACACCATGGGGTTTCCTATTTTTCTAACCGAGTGTTTTAAATGGTCTTGGTTCACAGAACTGTAAATAGACCTTTCCATTTCCTTTTCTTATCTCTCTTTTTTTTTTTTTCATTTTTATACCGCAGAAGTCTCACACGCAGACTTTGCTACCTGCAGCCTGGCCAACAGGTTTTTAGTGCTCTTGGTTTTTAACTCATTGCTGTGATGTCCAGGAAGCATCCGCATTAACGGCCGCCTTTCATTTTCTAAACTCTAGTGATCTTTTGTGTTTTTAACGCATATCAGTATATGTTCCTCTGGACAGTGTTTTGTTTATTTGTTTCCAGAAGTTATCCTTCAAAACTGTACATTGAGGTAAATTCCATGAAAATCTAGAATAAAGATAGTTTGTAATATTTTTGGTGTGTTGCTTTTGTTTGTGT